AATTACCTGTAGGGAAGATATTAAGCACCTTACAACGTCCTAAATCGGTACTCTGTGACAAAGTTAGCATAATAATGAACAATAGTATAAATATCAAATCCCCTTTATTGATGGTTATTTACATACATGAAATTTAAATTATACGAATTATCCTAAGATGTCTACATGGTTATTCCTTTTATTTGGAATACTTATCAAATGAGGAAGTAGAGGAAAGAGAAGAGTATTGACTGAAATACCTTTTAACCGAGCTTTATTAATTCTTCAAGTATGAAGACTTTTAGGTGTTTTTTGGCTACCCTTCACACTACAGACCGCCTCCTAAATCTCAAGGAATATAATAAGAGGGAGAGAGAGAATTTTTGAACTGACTAAGGCTTTCTAGATAAACTTTTCGATCCCCTAAACAGCGCCTGACGCGACTATTTATAGATGTCAAAACTAACCAGAATGGCCCGTTCTAGTTTCGGAATAGCCCGTTCTGGATCAATCTATTAAGAGTAAAATTTGAATCTGGAACGACCCATTATAGAATTAGAAAGACCCGTTTTGGATTTGAATTTTACTCATAACAACCTATGTCGAAATGACCCGTTCTAGACTAGGAACGGTCCATTTCGAACAAGGGTTTCTAAGTCTTTTTAGTAGTTTGGAACGATCCGTTCCAAATTGGAGCGAGTCTTTCTAGGCTACTAAATCACCTTTGTTAGGTGTTTGGGTCTTCTGATGTCATATTGTGTCATTTCTCGGCTTTCGGGAACTTCTTTCCTTCATGCTCGATGTCCATTTCTTTGTTTGTGGGTCTAGACGAAATTAGGTGTCTACAACAACATGAACATGTCATTTGATTGCAATTTCAACAAATGAAAATCCCAATCTATGGCACCAAAGATTAGGCCATATGAGTGAGAAAAGGGTGAAGATCATGCACTTAAAGGATAAACTACCAAGTCTTTGGGCAAAGAAATTGACATGTGTGAAAACTGTATACTTAGAAAGTAGAAACGAGTTAAATTTTAGACAAGTGGAAGAACTCCTAAGAAGGGGAAACTTAAGCTTTGTTCACTATGATGTTTGGGTCCAACGATTGTCCTATCCATTGGTGGGAAGCAATACTTTGTGACTTTTATTGATCACTCTAGGAAGGTATGAGTATACTTTCTAAAACATAAAGTATTTGAGGCTTTTAAGATTTGGAAAGCCATGGTAGATAATGAGATAGGATTGAAGATAAAAAAGTTTAGAACTAACAATGGTGGTGAATATGAATACATCAAATTTAAGAAGTTTTGCTATGAGCACGTGATCAGAATGGAAAGGACCATGCTAGGTATGTCTTGATATAATGGTGTAGTTGAGCGTATGAATTAAACATTGACTAGAAGAGCCAAAAACTTACATTTGCAGTCAGGCTTACCAAAATAGTTTTAGGCAGAAGCAATCAACACAACAACTTATTTAATCAATCAAGGTTCATTAGTACCATTAGAACACAAAATACCAGAAGAGGTATAGAGTGGAAAAGAGGTAAAACTCTCACATCTTAGAGTTTTTGATTTTGTAGCATATGTACACATTAGTGATCAAGGAAAGAATAAACTTGATCCTAAATTGAAGAAGTGCACTTTCATCGGTTATGTTGAGGATGACTTTGACTACCACCTACGGGATAATGTAAACAAAAAGATGATTCATAGTAGAGAATTGATCTTCAATGAAAGAGTGATGTACAAGGATAAAGACAACATATACACTAGCAACTCAGAAGAAAGTGGGATAATGTATGCAGAGGTGTAGCCGAGTGTATGAATCAAACGTTGGCTATAAGAGCCAAAAACTTGCATTTGTAGTTAGGCTAACCAAAGTAGTTTTGGGCAGATGTAGTTAACACAACTATTTATTTAATCAATCAAGGTCCATTGGTACCATTATAACACAAAATACTAAAAAATGTACAAAGTGGAAAAGAGGTAAAACTCTCACATATGAGTTTTTGGTTGTGTAGCATATGTATACATTAGTGATCAAGGTAAAAATAAACTTGATCCTAAATCGAAGAAGCGCACTTTCATCGGTTATGGTGAGGATGAGTTTGGCTATTGCATGTGTATAGGACAATGAAAACAAAATGATTCATATTATAGATGTGATCTTCAATGAAAGAGTGATATACAAGGACAAAGACAACATATACACTAGTAACTCAGAACAAAGTGGGCTAGTGTATGTAGAGGTAGGTGGTTTCCTAAAAACTCCTATAGTTGAGATTCCTCAACTAGAGGAATCCATTGAAAATAATAATGACCAACAAATTGACACACCAAAGCCTTTTACTCCAACTTTTTTTTTGAGAAGGTTTTCTTGACCTCATATGCCTAACAAGAAATACCTTAATTATATATTGTAAATTGATGAAAGAATGCCTGAAAACTATGAGGAAGCATGTCAGACTACAAATGCTAGTAAGTGGGAGTTGCCATGAAAGATGAGATGAAGTCATTAATAGCCAATTAGACATGGGAACTAACAAAGTTACCTATTAGGAAAAAGGCACTTTACAACAAATGAGTGTATCAAGTGAAGGAGGATTTTAAAGTATTGCAATGATCATCTTTTCCAAAGCTACTATATAAAAAGATTTGAAGTTAAAATAAATACGTGGATAAAGAAGACATATACACAAAGAGACACACTTTGTAAATGATACTTGTGTATAAACTTTATTCTTTCTTGTAAAAAGTTTATTGCACTATATTGATTGTATAACGTCTAAATGAGACAAAACAACATCTTTGCAAAACTTCATAACCATTGTTATAAGGTTGAGCCTAAAGAGGCTTGTCTAAAATAGAATACTTGGTTGTTAAGTTTGGAGATGCTTGTTGTGAAAAAAATTCTTGGATAGTTGCTTGAAGAGACAAGTCAAAGAATACTTAGGGTTGAATCAAAAGTGACTTGTTGAAAGAATACTTGTATCTTTGTTTAAAGATAGTGAAACTTAATCTGGTTAGATTGAGAACTGGATGTAGTCTTAGTAGTTAAGACGAACCACTATAAAAATACCTATTGTTTCATCTGGATTCTTTATGCACTCCTTCTGACTAGCGTTATTACTTCACCACAAAAAAAAATGAGTTTTTGATACATGTTATTCATGCTTTTTCCAGTGTTTATCTTTTCTCCACATATTTATTTATAAAATAAGGAAGGTGTTATAGAATTCTTGTTTTGGACCTAAAAACTTCAAGTCCAAAAAAATACTGGAAATTACTAAGATTTTTAAAGCAAAAACTATGATCAATATATCACTTTACATGTTAGATTTCAACAATATCATTTCTAGCAAACACAATATTATCATAGAATAATAGAATAGTAAAGCA